ATAGATAGATAGATAGATAGATAGATAGATAGATAGATAGATAGATAGATAACTCAGGTGATAAAGTTTTTGGCCACATGAATGCCTGACTCTTCTGTTCATGAGGCCTCTATTCTGAAGTTCTCTGATTCTTCCATTACAAATCCAGAACATAAGGATCAGACCTTGCAAAAGAGCTGCTGAGTGGCATAACTTTCATTTCTGTATTAAGTTTACTTTGAGGTCACGAATACATATGTTCCAAGTTCTTAAGCGACATTAAAATAAAATCTTCAAAAGTACACAAGAAAAAATGGAAACAAAGCTTTTGTAAATAAGGAGAGAAAGGAGGGTTGAAGTAAGGGAAGCGGAATGGGAAAAAAGACTCAAAATATTTTATGTAGAGATACAAATTCTTTATGATAAATGTGGTATATATATATATATATATATCAAACATGTACCAATAAATGAATTAAAACATCCTTTGGAAAGTGCTTTTTTTCAACACATTACCTAGAGAAGTTCTGAGTATTTGTAAGTGAGGAAAAATTTCCTGTCACTCTGTCTTTCACTGTCTCAGAGTGAAAGTAAACTTCTGAGATTGCTGTTAATATATTCTGAGTTAAAATATAACATTACTAGAGGTGCCATTCCAGTGAGGATATGTGCTGAGTTTGTCTATTCATGAACATAAAACAACTTAAAGAAGGCTGACTACTATTCTCAGACTGTAAGACCATCAGAACAGTACATTCAAATCAACCTTTTAAAAGGAAGCAATTGTTTTTCTAATTTCTCACTCAAGAAATATTTAAAATTTGGTCCAGTTCTTCTTCATAGCCATCTGGATAAAAGATACACACTATGCAATAAAATTAAACAATTTTAAAAATCTTCCCTTTCTGTTCTATTTTTTAAGAAACAGGTTGAGGAGGAGAGGCAATGAAAGAGAAAAGCAAGGGTGGGAGAGTTATTGATTTTTTAATTTTTCTTTTTATTCTTTTTTTTTTTTTTTTTTTAAATTATTTTTTTTTTTTGCTAGCTCAGTCCACCCTGAAGGCAGGACTGATGAGGCACATGGTGCCAGGGATCAAACCACAGTCCCCTGCTCCTGCCTAAGATTGCCTAAGCAGGTGCTTTAGACTGCTGAACTATTTCGTTGGCCCAAGAGTAGAATTATTTAAATAGTAATGAGCATATTTCTGTTCTTGGCCTTTTGCTCTTCAAAATTAGTAACTTAATAAAGACTGCAACTTCTATCACTTTCCTCAAGTGTGTATGGTCTCAAAACCAAACAAAATCACACTCAAATACATAGTTGAAGGAAACATTTTAATTGGATTGTAAAAGATAGACAGTTCTTGCTGATTCATCTTTAAGACGTATTAATCTCCTAACTAGAATAAGTGATAAATGACTTGGCCTAGGAATGAAGAGAAATGAATAGCTGCATTTTACCACTGAGAAGACAGTACTAGGGAATCTAAAATTAAAAATTAAAATGATTAAAAAGGACAGAAATGACAATTTGATAGTTTTTTTCTTATGTAACATTCTGTGGCTTAAGAGGTAGCATTGAAGAGCTTAAGTGCTTTTGATTACTTAGACACCACTCCCACCCTCCACTACACATTTTCTTAGAGCTGGTGAACATTTATAGACAATTTCTGTTGTGGTATCAATCTAATAAATTTCCACTAAAATCTTCCTTGGACAAAATCTGATAGCTAGTTTTTAAACAATCTATGTTTCTCTTTTTTCTTTTTTAAAGCAGCTTTTACTTGCATTCTTTGTTAAAGGATTACTCAGTTCCTTAGCTAGGTAAAACTGGCACAGTAGCAATTTGCTACACATACTATAAAAGTAATTATATTTAAAAGTAGTGCATTAGTTACACAGAAAGAAAAAAACGACATGTGTTCTTTCCCAACTTTCCAATCTGTAGTTTCAGGGAAATAACAGTAGATTTAGGGGTTTTTTTTAATGTTTTTTTTTGTTTGTTTGTTTTTGTTTTTTTTTTTGGTCTGTTTTTAAATCAGAGACTGGGGCTGGTGAGATGGCTCAGTGGTCTAAAGCACCTACTTAGAACAAGCTTAGCAAAGCACAGGGACTGCGGTTCAATCCCCCAGCACCACAAGTCAGCCAGCCCTGCCCCCAGGTGGGCTGAGCTGGCCACACACACACAAAAATAAATAAATAAAATAAATTAATTTTAAAAATTATTATAAAAATAAATCAGAGACTGAATCCAAAGGCTTGCATGTGGGCAAGTGCTTTACCACTGAGCTATATTCTCAGTCCTTTTTAACTTCATTTTGAGACAAGATCTAAGTTGCCCATGCTGACCTCAAACCTGCAATCCCCTTGCCTCAGCCTCCTGGTCTTAAAAGCATGTGCCATTTTGTCTGGAGAACAGTGGTTCTTATTAGAACCTGGTATTAGAATTTCAATGGAATTAAAAATATACACATTACACATAAATATAAATAACCAACCAACTAACTACATGTAGATATATGTATCTGCATCCCACTATTTAAGACAGTGTTTCACTTCTTTGAATAGGACCTAGACTTCGCCATGTGTTTCTAGTGAAAAACTGCTGCATTGCTGCATTAAGTTATTCTTTAAACTAGTGTTTCTTAAGTATTGGTCCTCACACACATTTTAGTCTATAATCCAGTTTTTACTGAGCTACAGTGCAATGAGAAACAAGGAAGGCTAACCTTGTCCCATTTTTAATCCATAAAGTATTTTCATCCTCTTCCACCTTTATCTTCTTTAGATGTTATAATCTCCCTTGGAGGCTAGGAATGTAGCTCAGTGCTAGAGTATGTATTTACCATATTTGAGGCTCTGGGTTCAATTTCCAGCACTGAAAAGCAAAACAAAACCTCCCTTTTGTTAAATAACACTGATGATAGATATTTACAATATAACAACCTGGCAATATAAAATTTAGTAACACTATGTAGATAACTTGAATACTCTGTTTTCTTTCTTGAAATTTTGTAGATCTGTGAAATTTGCACCTGGGTACCTCTACCTTAAGAAGATTTAAAGCAAGGAATATATAAGAAAGACTCAGTAAATGAGTTAGATGACACATTGGTACTATCTTCCAAGGGCAGGAAATATATGTTTGCTCTAATTCAATAATTATCTGAAGGAATCAGGGAGATAGCTCAGAGGCATAAGTGCCTGCCTGCCACTTCACCTTCTCTGTTATCCCCTTTGTCCTGCTAACTTCTTTCTCCAGCTGGTCAGCATGATTCTATCATATTCATTATTAAGTTTTGTGTATTAATTTGTTTTGCTTTAGCTGATCTGATTTCTAAGTACTGTTCAATAGACTTTCTCCCTGAATGTTTTATTTTCAAAATAAGTAGCTCAAATGCAAATTATTCTATACTTTCTTAATTCTATAGTTTCCCTATTGAGTTGTCCAAGGCAACTATTTCAGTCTTTTGTGTTTTTTCTGCTATTTTTAAAAGGCAATATGTTTTTCATAGATAATCAAAGAAACACCACAAAAGAGAAAATTTAAAATCAATCATTAATTCTATCATTTAGAGATAGCCACTGTTAATACTTCAGTCATATTCAGCAAATGCAAGTCATAACATACTACATGGTACATATGATCATTATATCATATATACTATTAAATATTATTTTAAAGAAGGAATTTTTAAATGTATGCATAGCAATGATATTATAATTTATTGAACACTTCAGCTTAATCTTTCTAAGCAAAGAAAACTTAAAAAATTCTTACTTCTGTTTTTTTTTTTTTGGCGGAACTGGGGATTGAACTCAGGCCCTTGCGCTTGCCAGGGAAGCACTTATTCCACTGAGCCATCTCCCCGGCCCCTCTTATTTCTTTTTTTTTTTCTTCCTCGAATGCCTTCAGGGCACTTTTCGCCAGCTGGAGAGTTGTGAGGTTCGAACTCCAGCAACCCGAGGCTGACAGCTTTGTGGAGGCAGCCATTTAAAGGAATGAGCTAGGGCCAGGCCCCCTGCTCTTATTTCTTGACACTAAATTAGAGCACGGTAAAAATAAAAAACAAATAACAATAAAAATAAACCATGTTTCAAAAATTCACAAGTCATAACCATTCCATCCTTTCAGATACAACGTATACTGTAATCCTTTTCTAATTAAATAATCCATTTAAGTGTTATTCAACTTCACATTCTTTATTATGCCTTTCGTGGCTACTACTTATAGGGCATTCCCAATGTGTTGGGTAGGCTAAAATTTACCTTAATGTTTTAAACAAATTATTACATAAAATAATAGGCATGTAATATTTAAACTGAAAGTTTGAATTTTAATTTACCTTGAACAAATTTGACACAGTGATTGAAGAGAAACACTGGGCATATAGGTTAAGGCAGCATTGTAACACAACAAAAGGAATGTCAACACTTCAAACCTAGAGACAAACAAAAAGAATATCAACCAATCTTTACGGTTCTAAGAAACCAACCACAAAAAGAGAGGGCATTATTAGGTAGTCTTACTTTTAGAACAGACTTTTACAATATTGTATAACAATAACAAAAACTAAAGAGAACCAAGGAGACTTTCCAAATAACAGCCATATGACACATCTAAAATTTGGTGTTCCAAATGACATCTGAGGCAAAGTACAATGACAAACCAGATGTTTTTCTCTTTTGTAAAATGACCTAATGAAATAGTAAGCTGTTATATATAATTCATTAAACATTATTTATTTGCCCACTAGAATTTCTTTTTATTTTTTAATTTTATTTATTTATGTGTGTGTGTGTGTGTGGCCAGCTCAGCCCATCAGGGGGCGGGGCTGGCTGGCATGTGGTGCTGGGGGATTGAACCGCGGTCCCTGTGCTTTGCTAAGCTTGTTCTAAGTAGGTGCTTTAGACCACTGAGCCATCTCACCAGCCCCCAGAATTTCTTTTTTTAATCAGTACAGAAGCATAAGAAGTTCTGTCTCTATAGTGTACCTGTTCTGGGCTGTGAGCATCTCCCTTTGAGGATGGGGTCCACTGTACACAACTTTTGACAGTCCATGCTGGGATAGTGCACTCTCGGTTAGAGCCATGGACCCAATACTGGAAGGCTAAATAAAAGACATTCAAATAAAGAAAGATCAGTTGCCTGGTTGAAAATGTGATATTTAAAATAAATGTAGCATGAAGAATAACTATCAGGAACAGCAAATATAGTAACAATATTGAGACTGAATACTAGATTCTGTTTAAAAAGTTAAAATTAAAAAGTAAATAAATAGGTTCCAAAATTTTCTACAGTGGAAGTATATAATTGTCACACATAAACAAAAAACATTCAATTAGTCTTATCGATTAGAAAGGAAAGTATTTAAAAGAGCGTACTTTCTACAGATCTCTAGTCAAATCTTATATGAAAGCTAAAAGTTTTGGTTTCTCACTTCATTTTGGAAATAATAAATATTTTATATGATGATTTATATTCTTTAAGGTATTAATGCATTTATCAACTTCTTTTGGCTAGATACCTATACCCTAATTTATGACAACATCAAAGCTTAGGACCCAAAAATTTATTTTAATAAAATGCCACTTACTTCATGATATACAGATGGTTTGGATAAAGATGGAATTGTAAAACTCAATACTTTGCTATGTCCTTGTTTGTCAACTATTTCCTAGAAAAGTGAAAAAAAATTTAAAGTATTTACTTCTATTATGCATTAATTTTAAAACTAATTTTAATTTTTACACAACTTTTTAAAAGTCGTACATAGAAAGCAATTTAGAGAAATTAAAACCTTAAATAATGACAATCCATTGTCAGCTATTCCTAAACACTCATAGTTAACATGCACACTCTCCTACTTTTAAAATAAAAGTAGGGATGTGGTGGTAGCTCAGCAGTAGAGAGCTTGCCTCACATACAAGAACCCCTGTGTTTGATTTCCAGTACTACATAAGGAAAAGAGAAAATAAAATAAAAATGAAAGAAATCTAGCCCACTGTTAATGGTTTGTGTCTAGTTGTCCCCCGAAAGCCTCAAGCAGTGATGGTGTGGCTTCTAGAGTTTGTGATTGATTCTTGATCCAATGCTGGGATGATGGGTGTGAGTGCTACCCCTGCCCTGGGGTAGATAATCTGCATACAAATATAAGGAGGGGAGAGAGGCTTGCTAGCTGCTGCAGCTCCACCCTTTGCTCTTTGTTATATTCCACCACTGTGAATGGTTGCCCTCTGCCATGTGCCACCCTGCCTTGGACCCAGGTGAGTATGGACTAAAACCTCCATTAACTGTGAGCTAAATAAGACTTTCATTCCTTAATTCTGGATGTCAGATATTTTGTCCCAGCAAGGAGAGAAATGTAACTAAGACACCCACTAAAATAAAAGTCACATACAATTTTCAAGGTAGCTAGATATAGTAGCCTTCTACAGATAACAAATTACATTTTCTAAATCAACTAAGGATTTAAACATTAAGTATATTAAGAAACAGACCTTACATTTCTTTTCTATCTTAAAAGAAATACAAACATTAAGTATCTAGAACATCATCACAATTATAACACAAACTAGTAATGCTAACTACATTATACCAATGGTGTGAACTCTGGAGACAGTCTTAATTATGGAACTATGACTGGTGAATACTAGGCTAAATCTCTCTCCTAAATTTTTTGTGAGGGCCAGAAACATAAAGTTTATAAATAAGTTTAATGTATACTAAGTTTTAAATTTTTAAAATGTAACACTGGTGTTTTTCAGATATACCTATAAAAGAACTGAAATGATTTGATTTTTCAATTGAAGTAAATCAATCCAAAAAGGTATTTACATAGTTCTATGTATGCCTGTATAGCTCCTTCCCCTGTAAAAAGTTATTTTGGGGGAGAATATTTAAAAAATAAATTTTAGCTTTACTAAGATGCAAAATAGTTGTAAAAGGTATATATTTGATTTTGCCAGAAAGCATTTTAATACAATATATACAAACCAAATTATAAACCCCTAGAAGGAGAGCTTCAATGCATCCACTGCTATGCACATTTCTGCTGGCTGAGACTGCAAGGTAGCACCAAATCAGTTCTGGGAGAAACTGCAGTGTAAATCGTAGCAAATGTTCCTCTCCACTGCGATAGAATTCAAAGAGTTGGTGACAGACTGGTTCTAGCAACTGGGAGAAAGACAAAACATTAATTCACAATCTGGGCTTCAAATTGCTAACTATTAGAATATATTTAATTTTCTGAAGCAAAACTATTCACTACTAAAGTATTTGATAAACCTGAATTTTGGTAGAAAGACAAACAATTCAATAAAAGAAACATGGAAGCATGTGAAAACTTTAAATATTGTTCTAAGGTAGCATTATTATTAAAGCCACATTTCTTTAACTTCTTACAACAGCTAAATTATAATAGGAAGTTTCTTCCTCAATGTGCTTTTTTGCTGGTAAATCACATGCCAATATATAAAAGATTAGCAATAGGGGAGAAGAAATCACAATGAGAAACCTGGCCACTTACTGCAACACTTGTGAGCTTTCAATTAAATAGCTCTTGGCAGCAATGATTGATGTGGAGGGTGGGTGAATAATCACAAGGCCCTAGATCTAGATCTCTGCTTAGAACATGGTAATTGCCCATGGGTAATCTAAACATTGCTGTAATTTTTAGACATAATTTGGAGTTATCCATCTATACATTTTCTTCTCCCACCAGAGCCCCAACTTTATCAAGTTATTAGAGCTGACTGCATCTTTAATACACTGCTTTTAAAAATAAAAAATGCAAGATTTGAAAAATTTTGTAGGTATTATCTTGATATAATAATTACCACACACAAAGCATAATCAAATATGTCAAGAGACTCACAGGGTACTAAGTTTTCAAGGATACTATCAGGCTATTATATATGCAATGTGCTATACTTCACTAACAGACAATATAAACAGAATCTACTACAAATAATTATGATAAGGGGCCAGGGAGATGGCTGAGTAGAATAAGCGCTTGCCTGGGAAGTGCAAGGGTCTGAGTTCAATCCCTGGTTCCGCCAAAAAAAAATTATTATTATTATTATAATGAACAGAAACCAATTTAAAGTAGATATTTTGATATTAAATAATTTAGATATGTAATTAAGCTGAGTATAAAGTCAATATTTATATAAGATTTACCAAAAGTTACACTTCAGTAAATCTTGAGTAAGTCAAACCATTCTCTCCTTTGAAAAATTTTATGACTTCCAATTATTACTCTTCCATAAAAAAATATTTCTTTCAAATTCAAAATGTTCTTTAGAAGACAACAACATCCGCTGTAGTCATTAAAGGTGACAGAAGACTGGAGGCCAGGAGGCAATTTACCTCTGTTCATAGATGGCAAGCAAAGGTTTTAGTATAGAAATTTTGAAGAAAGGTTTAGAAGGGATGGAAAGGAATCCCCATCTCTGACAAAACTAAACAAAAACGGGTATATAAATGAAGGACCATTTTGTATCTGTATATACAAAATAGGATAGATATACAGCTGCTTTCTCTTAATTCAACGAGAAGAAAGATTTGTACTAATAGTGTTTGGACAGGATATCATGTCTGCATCTTGCACTATGAATAACCACTACAAAGACAACAATATGCAATGTATTAACTATTGTAACTGTCCTACTAACCTGTTTTGAAGCTGTCTCATTGCTATTTGTTTCTCAATAAAATTAATTTTTTTAAAAAAAGAAGTGATGGAAAGGAAAAAAGATGTTTAGGGTCATATTTAGCTTCCAGGATAAAATTTTTAAAAATCTCTTTGGAGATAAGCCTCAGTAATCTTGTGGTAAAACAACCTTTATCTCTAAATCCCTGGGCAGGCTTTGATTAATTCAATTTACAAAACTTATTAAGTCTAACAAGTATTTGCAAATTATGAAACCTTATTAGAAAATTTATTCAAGAACATCTGCATGAACATATAATTAATTTTAATCAAAATACACTCAGAGGCTTTACAATCATTTTAAAATCTCAAATTAAGGGGTTTTGCTTAATGAAAGGAGATCTAAATGAAGACAGATTCAAAAGTAGATAGAAATTCCACTGCAAAATGATTAAATAAAATTACTAACATCAGCATCTGTCAGCTCTTGTCCTCTAAAGCTCTTTACAGACACAAATTGGTTCAATTCCTACAACAATATAGGTAGAATATGACTATCCACACTTTCCACTTAAAGAAGTCAAGACAAAAAGGCTATCCATCATAACCAACATCACACCCTTCACAAGAAATAAGGAAGGACCAGGTTTTTTTGGTTCTTTTAAAAGCATACCTGAAAAATGTCAAAAAAAGAATGAAATAACATAAAATGTGGAAATATAAGCACTGTTTGACATACTTAACTTGAATATACTTGAGGCAAGCAATAGACCATTAGAACATATTATGTTCCTAGTGTTTCAGTTAAATTTTTAAAAAATATTTTCTCAAGGAAACATCCTCATATATGGTGACTAGGCTTTAATATTTCTATTAAGGAAGAACTGCACCTTAAATATATATTTATTAATTAAGTGGACTTTTTATGAGTATAATGAGAACATAATCACTATATATCATCTTTCCATTTAAAAGTACACTCTGAATTCTAAAACAACTTACAAATGACATTTTATGACAACCCATTACTAAGTAAGAAGTCTACATCCTAAAAGAGACTTCCAGTAATGAAAATATGATATAAAAATGTCCTTTAATAGAAAAGAATCCTGGGGTTTTTTTGGGGGGGTTGTTCATTTGTTTTGTATTTCACAATTACTGATGAACATGGGTAAGAAAAAGATACAAGAAAGTTAGAAGGATACTATTCAGATACCATCAGTAAATGGTGCTTGACTTCTGCTTACCCTGGGTTCCCTACTCCTAAAACAAAGAAATTGTATGCGTATTTTTCAAAAAACAGCTGATTTTAGCAGTGTGCATTAGTACACACCTATAATCCTAGCTACTTGGAAGGGGGATCACAATCTCAAGATTGTGGTGGGCAACTTAGCCAGACCTTATCTCAAAATAAAAAAGGTCTAGGGATGCTGCAGCCCAATATAGCTTTTTTTTTTTTTTTTTTTTTTTTTTTAAGTGCAGAATCTATAGGGTCTATAAGGTCTCACTACACAGATTGGACTTATAGTGATTCTCCCGTTTTCTTTTTTTTTTTTTTTTTTTGCGGAACCGGGGATTGAACTCAGATCCTTGAATTTGCCAGTCAAGCGCCTACTGAGCCATCTCCTTGGCCCCCCAATATAGCATGCCTACCATGCACAAGCCTCCTGATTCAATCCCCAGAAACCCCTCCCCCCATACACACAAAACCAAATCCAGCTACTTTTATAACAGACTTGAAGTTATTAAGCTCTAAATGATGTACCATCTTAAACTTATAGGAACATGTCCAAATTCAGACACAAAATATTCTAAAGATCAACATTAAAGTAAATTATATTTTATATTTTAGAACTACATGTAAATATCCCTTAAAAACTAAGTTATCTTTTAAGAATATGAAATATGCACTGTCTTTACTACATTAATCAGGATAAAAGCATAAAACAAACTTATATGCAAAATCTTCTAACCCAGTTCTTCTCAAAGTATGACCCATGGACTGAGGACCATAAACAAATCATCAGTCTCCACCAATATAAACATAGAAATCAAGTGGCAACATTTAAAACCTTCAAGCAACTTTATATGGTTTCAACAGAAGGAATTTTTTTTAGGGGGGAGCTGCTCAGGTTGCCTTCAGGGCAGGTCTGGTTTGGCTTGAGGATGAGGGGATCGAACCACAGCATCCTGAGCCTGACTGCTTTGTTTCAGCAGGCACTTAAACACCTGAGCTAATGGGCAGGCACCCTATATGGTTTCAACAATCAAGTGAGTAATCAGCAGACATATTGACCAGGATACAGGTGAGCTAGGGATTATCAAATTTGTGTTGCTCCACACATGCAGTAGAAGTTGTGTATTAGTCATTCATATTAGGTATAAATATCAGTCTGTGACAGATTGGATTTTTTTTTTTTTAATTTAGTGCAGGGTCTACAGGGTCTACAAGGTCTCACTACGTAGATCAGACTCTTAGTGATTCTCCTGTTCTCAGCCTCCCAAGTGCTGGGATTACAGGTGTGTGCCACATACCCAGTCTTGATCACGGTCTCAGTGCACCCCAGGGTTGGGGGGGAACGTGGCACGGCAGGCCGGGGATCAAACCTCTGACCCCTGCGTCTGCCTAAGCAGGCAATTTAATCCACTGAGCTATCTGGCCACTCCTAGGATTTAAAAAACAAAAAAAAAAAAAAAAAAAAACCCAAAAACTGACCCTAATAGTTCGAGAAATTTTTCTCAAAAAATAATTTTAAAAATATTACACTGAACCACTAGAGCTGTATTCATTAAAGTTTTCTGAATATAAGGAATGCTATAAACTAAAGCAGCTGATCAGAAATTTATCCTATAAACTCTTTCCAAAGTACCTTGGTTAAAATACATTTCAACAAAGAAATAAATTTTAAACTTTTCAAAATAGTAAATAGTAAAGGATAAAAACAATAGTAAATGATATACAAGATTTAGTTTGTTATTTTTAAAAAGCCAACATGTAGCTATACTTAATCTGGTGATGTAATTCTGAACCAAACAAAATTTTTGGCCACCTACATAGACATCAAGAAACTTTGCAGGCCAGGGGTGCTGCGCAAATCAAATATGATCATTCAATGCTGTTATTTCAGTTAAAGTTTGCTGGTTTGTCAGTAAAATCACTAATCCCTCCAGCATCTAAAATTTATAATGCACTTCATAGTATAATAAATGGAAGCAGGGCTATTCTATACCCTTTCCAAAAGAGATTAATTGCTCAAGTAACAAAAGATCCTGTTTGGGTAGTTCGGGTAGTTTCATTTCAAAGATGCACAGCTCTACAAATAAAACTCAAGCATAAAAGGAATTATACACTTCAGTACACTCCTTTCCATGCTGTATGTCTCTATTCCCACTGACCCTATCCAACTTCAGGTTCCCAACAACTCCATCATAAGTTGTTTTTATAGGTAGTCTCCTAGTCTCCCCTTTCAATTTCTCCATTCTCCAACCCATCTGCCACGGTCACCTTCCTAAAATAATAATCAGCATAAGTCATCTTATATGTAAGTACAAAAAGAAAGTCATATATAAGTACAAAAAGAAAGTCTAAACTAAAATAGAATTTAAGGCCTATGCCAACTGTAATTGATGCACATCTGTAATCCCAGCTACTTGAGAGACTGAGGAAGGAGAATTTTAAGTTAGTTCAAGGTCATGCTGGACAATTTGGTGAGACTCTGCTTCAAAAATAAAATTCGAAAAGCTGGCAGAATGCTTGCTTAACATGTGTAAGGCCCTGGATTTACTCTCCAATATCAGCAAAAAGGGCTATGCATATGGGTTGGAAGTACAGCACTTTGCCTAGCAGACTCAAGGCCCTGTATTCAGTCCTCAGTAAGACACACACACACACACACACACACACACACACACACACACAATTTGAAGCTTGTAAATCTGTTGTTTTTACTAGTCTTGCATTCTTGTTACAATTAGCCTAGCTGCCTTTTCCAAATG